GTTTCAGCAGCGGCTGAATCTGGACGCCAGTTCCGACTTACATACAGATTCAACTTAAGAACAAACCTACAGTCCCTATCTTGTACGTAACCCGGGGACTGCCTGTACAAAAAAAAATCTCCTATACCTTCCCTCTGGGGCATTTGAAAGAGAGAGAGAGAGATGAACTTTTCAAGGCTGTTCAAGTGAAAGTGTGTTTTCAGACAGAATAATATTTAACATTTTACTCTGAAGGGTTGATTTGACTTATTTCCCATTTCCAAACATGTAGGATGTTATCATAAAATGAACACGTTGCTAGGATGCTGACTTTTCTCTCAGCCTTTGCTAATTCAGTTTGATCACTCTTGTTGTCCAACCCTTTTCCATCAGGATGCTGAGAAGGTGGGTCAGAGCCACTCTTTGGCCTGACCTGTGAGGCAGCGCCTTCACCCTCCTCATCTAACACTACATCAAAGCTAGCTGTAGGAGATTCATAAACTATCTTCAGGTTCTGGATTTGCAGATCCAGTTTCTTGTCTCCTTGATCTGAACTTGCCACTGGTCCTTCAGACGAGTCAAGTGCAGAAAATGGGTCCTGTTTTACAGCCAGGGGATCCTTTGGGGAGAGTCTTGACCAATCAGCTCCATAAGCCAAGGAGTTATGCAAGATGTAGGATGACACAACAGTACATTCCTCAGTGTTTTCTGCTAAAAAGAAGAGGAAATTAAGCTTCAAAGCCTAGTTTGAGGTAGTTTGTCTGCTAGCTGTTCGTGCTGAAAATTTAATCAAGAAGAAATTGCCTATTCTATCCCAAATGTTACTGATTACCATTCTCTTTCACATGACAAAAAGAAACATATACCCTCCAGTGTAAATAAGCCAACGCTAAAAAGGAAATTCTCCCCATCAACTTTCCATTGCCTCTTTATAGCCAAATCTTCACTCAGCTCATTGGAGGGGAGATGGTCAGCATGCCCATGCAACTCTTAAGGCCGCATTTCTCAAACTGTGGGTCCCAACCCCACCGGGGTGTCATGGTATCACAGAGCTTGAGAACCCCTGTCTTAAGGAGTTCACAAGGGACGCACCATATAAATCTCACACAAACTGCAAATGCTACTATTGCCACGGTCTATACACTAGGCTCTTTTATGGCAGATGATTGTCCCCACTGAGCCTCTGACCTTTCCTTTTAAGAGACGGAGATCATATTTTAAGTGATCAAGGAATACAATTTAGTACTAATCAACCATAGCACTTTTCAACCTCAGCGTGCCTCACAGCTATGAGCCAGTTCATCCGTTCCAACATGAAGCAGAACCCTTTTTCACAGAGAGGTTGGGTGATTTGCTCAAGGTCGCACTGTCAAAACCGGGAATCTGACTGCACCACCTGAACACAAGTCCAGGCAATACCTAACCATTGGGCAGTCACTGTGCGGGGACTGGTCTGGAGGTTGTTTGAGGCCACCACCAGCTCTTTCCACAGCAGACCCGCAGTCTCAGGAAGCATCTAAGATGGGTGGGCAATGATTTTCAAATGGAGGACACTCCACAAATGTTGGTAAGTCACCACAGGCCACACGCAGTTCTACTATATTAATGGAGGGGATGCAGGATCTTGGAGGGAATCTGGGTGCAGGAGGGAGCTCCAGGGTGGTGCAGAGTATTGGCATGCAGGATCTGAGCAGTTGTTTGGGTGCAGGAGGGGATTCTCACCTGAGCAGGGGTTGGGGTGCGGGAGGGAGGGAGGGAGTGCAAGGTCCAGGCTCTGTCCAGGAGGAGCTTACCACATGTGGGTCCAGGCTGGCAGCATACTGAGGCACTCATGGCTCTATGCCACTTCCATAAGTGAACGGCAGCTGCAGGCATGTCTCTGCGCACCCCTTGGGACAAAGGGGGGGAGAAGGTCTCCATGCTCTGCCTGCACCTGCAAGCACTGCCCTCCGCAGCTGCCACTGGCCAGTTTCCAGCCCATGGGGATTGGGAAAATGGTGCTGAAGGCAGGGGCAGCACATAGAGCCATGTTCGACCTCCCCCCCCCCCCTCCCCCACACACACACTCTCAAACTATGTAAAGGAAGTTTTCTACAGACCACAGCAGACAGACACAAATGTTAGGCCAGAACTAGCCTATGGACCATATTTTGTCCACACCTGATCTAACAGGCACACATTTAGAAGTGTCTCATTCTCCTAAAGACCACTCCAAAGTGGAGTAATAACATTTTTGGTCCATCCAGTCAGCTTAGGAGAATGACAGAGGAGTTCACATGTCCAGCGAGGAATTCTTACAAATAGTACTGCTCTGAGATGAACTGAATGCCTAAGCTTCTCAACAGTATTTGTGTATTTCTACCATTTACTCAGTGCAATCGCATGCAGTGGCCTTCCCTTTCCCCTGTAGGCAGGGAAGACGAGCAGCAGAGTGTGAGCAGAGAGAAGAACACACTTTCCCACTCTATTAAACTCTCACCCATACTTCCTTGGCAGTCAAGGATTTTGAATCCATTATGCATGCAAGCAGCCAACAGCAAGTGTTCATGTGTCGGATGCCACTTCAGTCTCCAAACTCCTCCTTGGACATGGGTGTCTGCCAATGGCTGTTTCATATTCCTGGTGTCCCACAGCAAGACGTGTTCATCATAGCTGGAAACACACACACACCAACATACAAAGACACCAGAGGAATTTTAGTGCATAGTGCACAGGAGGAGTCAAGAAGATGCAATGCGTTTTCCCACATACTCCACTGATGGCAGCCTTTTCCCACATGAGCTTTTGGGGATGCAGCCATGGGCTGCAAATAATGAGGCAAGTCAGGCAAGAGGGCTACTGACCCATAGAAAAAAAAACTGTCGGGGGCCACACACAAGGGAGAAGCAAAAAAAAGGTGAAAAGCTGAAAAAGACTTTCAGCTCAAACTCCATCCCAGAGCCTGGGGGACCAGGATTAGTAGATTTTGTGGGGGCCCCCGAGGCTCTGGGGTGGGGCCAAAAAATGAGGGGTTCTAGTCAGGAGAAGAGGATGGAAGTATGGGTCAGATCAGATGAGACACAATCAAATGAAAAAGAGTCTAACACATCAGGAAATGGCAGACAGATAAATAAGTGACAATTTTTAAAATGCTTATACACAAATGCTAGAAGTCTAAATGATAAAATGGGTCAACTAGTGTGCCTAGTTTTAAAGGATGATACTGATATAATAGGCATCACGGAAACTTAGTGGAATGAGGACAATCAATGGGACACAGTCATACCAGGGTACAAAATATATTGGAAGGACAGAACAGGTCGTGCTGGTGGGGGAGTGGCACTATACATGAAAGAAAATGTAGAATCAAATGAAGTAAAAATCTTAAATGACCCTAAATGGTCAATAGAATCTCTACGGATAGTAATTCCATGCTCCAATAAGAAGAATATAGCATTAGGGATATATTATCGACCACCTGATCAGGACAGTGATAGTGGCTACGACATGCTAAGGGAGATTAGAGAGGCTATCAAAATAAAAAACTCCATAATAGTGGGGGATTTCAACTATCCTCATATTCACTGGGTACACGTCACTTCAGGACGGATACAGAGATAACATTTCTTAATACCTTAAACGACTACTTCTTGGAGCAGCTGGTTCTAGAACCCACAAGAGGAGAGGCTATTCTGGATTTAGTGCTAAGTGGAGCACAGGAACTGGTTCAAGAGGTAAATATAACTGGACCGCTTGGAAATAGTGACCATAATGTAATGAAATTTAACATCTCAGTGGTGGGAAAAATACCTCAGCAGCCCAAAACTTTAGCATTTAATTTCAGAAACGGGAATTACGCAGAAATGAGGAAGATAGTTAAACAGAAATTAAAAGGTACAGTAACAAAAGTAAAATCTCTGCAAGCTTCATGGAAACTTTTCAAAGACACTATAATAGAGGCCCAACTTAAATGTATACCGCAAATTAAAAAACACAGTAAGAGAACCAAAAGAGTGCCACCATGGCTTAACAAACAAGTAAAAGAAGCAGTGACCAATAAAAAGACAACTTTTAAAAAGTGGAAGTCAAATCCTAGTGAAGAAAATAGAAAGGAGCATAAACTTTGCCAAATTAAGTTTAAAAATATAATAAAAGCCAAAAAGAAGTTTGAAGAGCAGCTAGCCAAAAACTCAAAAAGTAATAGCAAAATGTTTTGTAAGTACATCAGAAACAGGAAGCCAGCTAAACAACCAGTGGGGCCCTTGAACGATCGAGATGCTAAAGGAGCACTCAAAGATAATAAAGTCATTGTGGAGAAGCTAAATGAATTCTTTGCTTCTGTCTCCATGGCTGAGGATATTGGGGAGATTCCCAAACCTCAGCCATTCTTTTTAGGTGACAAATCTGATGACTTGTCCCAAACTGAGGTGTCATTAGAGGAGGTTGTGGAACAAATTGATAAACTTAACAGTAACAAGTCACCGGAACCAGATGGCATTCACCCAAGAATTCTAAAAGAACTCAAATGGGAAACTGCTGAACTAAACTGTGGTTTGTAATCTATCCTTTAAATCAGCTTCTGAACCTAATGACTGAAAGATAGCTAATGTGACACCAATATTTAAAAAGGGCTCTAGATGTGATCCTGGCAATTACAGACTGGTAAGTCTTAATGTCAGTACCGGGCAAATTAGTTGAAACCACAGTAAAGAATAAAATTGTCAGACACATAGATGAAAATAATTTGTTGGGGGAAAGTCAACATGGTTTCTGAAAAGGGAAATCATGCCTTACTAATCTGCCAGAGTTCTTTGAGGGGGTCTACAAACATGTGGACAAGGGGGATCCAGTAGATACAGCGTACTTAGATTTCCAGAAAGCCTTTGACAAGGTCCCTCAACAAAGGCTCTTAAACAAAGTAAGTTGTCATGAGATAAAAGGGAAGGTCCTTTCATGGACTAATAATTGGTTAAAAGACAGGAAATAAATGGTAGGTTTTCCGAATGGATAGAGGTAACTAGTGGGGTCCCCCAAGGGTCCGTCCTGGGACCAATCCTATTCAATGTATTTATAAATGATTTAGAGAAAGGGGTAAACAGTGAGGTGGCAAAATTGGCAGATGATACCAAACTGCTCAAGATAGTTAAGACCAAAGCAGACTGTGAAGAGCTTCAAAAAGATCTCACAAAACTAAGTGACTGGGCAACAAAATGGCAAATGAAATTTAATGTGGATAAATGTAAAGTAATACACACTGGAAAAAATAACCCCAACTATACATACAATATAATGGGGAATAATTTAGCTACAACTACTCAAGAGAGAGATCTTAGAGTCACTGTGGATAGTTCTCTGAAAACATCCACTCAGCGTGCAGTGGCAGTCAAAAAAGCAAATAGAATGTTAGGAATAATTAAAAAAGAGATAGAGAATAAGACAGAAAATATCTTAATGCTCCTATATAAAACCATGGTACACCCACATCTTGAATACTGTGTACAGATGTGGTCGACTCATCTAAAAACAGATATATTGGCACTGGAAAAGGTTCAGAAAAGGGCAACAAAAGTTATTAGAGGTTTGGAACGGGTCCCATATGAAGAAAGATTTAAAAGATTTGGACTTCTCAGCTTAGAAAAGAGGAGACTAAGGGGGAACATGATAGAGGTCTATAAAATCATGACTGGTGTGGAAAAGTGATATGGAAAAGTTATTTACATGTTCCCACAATGTAAGAACTAGGGGTCACCAAATGAAATTAATAGGCAGTAGGTTTAAAACAAACAGAAGGAAGTTTTTCTTCACTCAGAACACAGTCAAACTGTGGAACTCCTTGCCAGAGGATGTGAAGGCTAAGACTTTAATAGGGTTCAAAAAAGAGCTAGATAGATTCATAGAGGTTAGGTCCATCAATGGCTATTAGCCAGGATGGGTAGGAATGGTGTCCCTAGCCTGTTTCTCAGGATGTGGGTGACGGGAGGGATCATGTGAGGATAACCTGTTGCATCCCCTCCCTCTAGGGAATCTGGTATTGGCCACTGTCGGCAGACAGGGTACTGGGCAGGATGGACCATTAGACTGACCCAGTATGGCTGTTCTTATGTTCAAAGCACAGGAGAAGGCTACCATGGAGCAGGCTGGGGTGCAGATGTGGTGTCTGGGCAGGAGGTAGGAAGCAGAAGTGAGTTTAGGGTGTGCAGTCTAGGCAGGATATAGGGTGCAGAAGCGGGCTGGGCAGGAGGGTGCAAGAGCAGGCTGGCCTCAGGGGTCTGTGTGGGAGGGAGGCTGCAAGAGTGTGCTGTGGGTGAAGGAGGTCTGGAAGGGAATGCAGGGACTGGGTGCTGGGTCGGGGCAGGAGATGGGAGAGTGGGCCACTTACCTGGCACAGTTTATGGGAGGTGCACGTGGTTCTGCACAGCTCCTTCATGCTGTAGGGAGGAGCCCTCCACCACCACCACCCCTGCTGCTCCCATTGGTCATGATTTGGCCAGAGTGACAGGGGCAGTGCTTACACAGAGCACTTCCCTGCAGCATGCAAGAGCCCCTTCCTACTCCACCAAGAAGAGCCACAGGCCAGATCTGGCCCCAGCTTGCCTGGTTCAGGTCCAGCACTGGCTGGCCAGATCAAAGCAAACTGCACGCTGGATCCAGCCTAAAGGCTGTAGGTTCCCCATCCCTGAGCTAGAAAGAACTCACCTTCCTGTTGCCAGAAGAAACTCTCGGTGTGGATTGCATTGAATGCTGCACACACCCATTGAATGTCTACAAAGGAACAACAGAGACCAAGAAGGAGTACACAAAGTGAGACAATAGTTTATTTTGTTCTCAAAGAGTCCTAGGGCAACCTTCACGGCAGCAAAGCTTCTTACTCTAAGGAAAAACTTAAAAAACAATGAATAGTCTAGCAGCACCTTAAAGACTAACAAAATATGTAGATGATATCATGAGCTTTCGTGGGTACAGCCCACTTCTTCAGATGTTTGGGTTGTCCAGATCCAAGAATAAATAAGAGAAGGCGGGGAGAGGGAGGGGGAAGGAGAAAGGAAAAGAAAAAAAAAGTAATGAAATAGATTATACAAGTTATAAGAGGCTGATATGAACAATTAACACCTCTGTAAGTACCCACTGTTAGGTTGGTTGGTTAAGTCATTAGAATGTGGAAGGCAGTGTATGCAAGCCAGCCCATATCTTTATTCATTCCTCTCTGATATGAATCAAACTTGTAAATGAAGTTAAGTTCCAACCCTTCCCTGTGTATTTGGCTTGTGGAATTGGCCTGAAACAACAGAGTGATTTTGAGATTATGTCGATTCATCACAGGACCCACCACTACATCAGGGGCTCATTTAACTGCACATACACTAATCTAATGTGATCTATGCCATCAAATGCCAGCAATGCCCCTCTGCCATGTACACTGGCCAAACTGGACAGTCTCTACGGGAAAGAATTAATGGACACAAATCACATATCCAAAAAGGCAACACACAGAAACCTGTTGGAGAACACTTTAACCTGCCTAGGCACTCATTAATGGATCTTAAAGTTTTGTTAGTCTTTAAGGTGCTGCTAGACTATTCGTTGTTTTTTAAGTTTTTCCAGTTACAGACTAACTGGGCAACCCCCTGAAGCTATTGTTTACCAGTGTGATTAAAACCACAATTAATAGTGTTTAATTGTTTTGAGCTAATTGCTGGAGTTAAATGCAATTATTCAAAAAACAATTTAAATGTAACTGAAGTTCTGGGAGAAAACACACTTGGTCATAATCAGTCATGCATCGTCATTCTATATCTATCTGAGTGGCTTAGTTACCTCTCACTGGTGAAGATAGGCATTTCTGGGTTGCACCTGATGTCCCAGCCCCTCAACATACAGTCATCTCCACCTGTACAAATAGGGAACGGCTGTGTATTAATACTAGTTGGGAAATCAGTGCACCCTAGAAGAAACTGAGATTTGACTGGTCTGGAGCATGATTAAGAGCTGGGAACCATGCCTTTACTGCTTTACCTCAGAAGATCATAGCAGGACTTGTGCTTTTCAATTAAATGAAGAGCAGAGCTACTGCATGTACCACAAAAATTTCACTTCATCCAAAAGCATGAGGTAGAATTGAGAAGGAGGAAGGATTAGAAAGAACCCTACCTAAATGGAAGTAAATAGCAGTCAACATTTATTTGGTGCTTTTCCTCCAAGTATCTCAGAGCACTTCACAAACCTAAGTTGAATCTCTGTTTATGGAGATATCACTACAGGCAGTCCCCGGGTTACGTACAAGATAGGGACTGTAGGTTTGTTCTTAAGTTGAATTTGTATGTAAGTCGGAACTGGTACATATTGTAGGGGAAACTCTAGCCAAACATTTCTCCAGAGCTCAGTTTTATTCTCCCACACCTCACTTCCCTCAGTCCTTTATTCTCAAGCTGAGGTGTCTGCTGAGAAAAGCCGCTCCGCGTCTCCCTGGTCTGCTGGAGGGGAGCGCTAGCTTCGCGTCTCCCTGGTCTGCTGGGGGAAAGCAGCTAGTGCGGGGTTGCCTCACCCCGTTTGTAAGTAGGGATCCGATGTAAGTCGGATCCATGTAACCCGGGGACTGCCTGTACTTTGAGATGGGGAAATCAACACACAGAAAAGTGACATGATTTGCCAAGTGCAAACTCTTATCTCAATAGCTAAGCTGGAACTTGCTTCTGTTCTGCCTACAATTCATTACTCCCTCTTGGCTAATGAACCATCAGGGTGGGCATTTAAATATCCACAACTTCCACACAATAATTCCACCCACTTTCCACAGTAGCTCCTTCAAGGGTTACTTTTCCAAGAAACAGCACAAACACTGAGAAGATGCCAGCTGGCTGGTACAGCAGCAAGAAGCATTACCATGATGCACAAGCAAAGGTTAAGGGAGACAAGAGTCAGACATACATGAAAATGGGTATTTTGATACCCACATATTTCTAGGATTTTTTTCTACCCTCCAGAAAAGGCGTTTGGTGTTCACGCACCTGAATACACAATGTTTGTGTCCCAGTAATTAAAAGCAGCAATCCAGGCCTCAAAGTTGTGAGCCTTCCACTGGCTGAGGATGTGCACAGAAGGAGCAGACTCATCGACTGACAGTAGATTCAGCTTCCCCTTTGAATCACTGCTGATTATTCTCAGTGGGCGCCCACTAATGCAGGAAAAGCAGACAATGTGTTACAGTTTAAGACAACTCAGGTTCCAGCATTTAATTCAATGATTTTCTCCTTCACACTTGCAGCCATGTTACAGCCTGAAAAGACCAGATAAAATGCAAACGATGTGTATCTGTCTTTTTAACAAAGACATGGAGAGACACTAGGGGAACATGGCTTCCAAGCAGAAACCAATGTTGTACATCTGCAGAGCACAACAGTTCCCCCTTCTCAAGTGCTGGATTTCATCTTCAGTCCACACTGCACAGGAAGCACAGCAATAGTCACAATCCCAGCTCCCTGCTCTCAAACAGGAAATTAACTCACACTGGCTTGGGACAAGTAATTGAAATAAATCATCTGTGAGCTCTAAAATGCTACTGAAGCAACCATTAAGATGTCTCATTTCTCCTGTGTGGCAATTTCCCACACTGTTCTCCCACTCACTCGGTCTGCAGGGACTGGGAATGCTACAGATGCTGTATATTCAGTCCCATTGGAAGTAGAAGGCCTTTTGCTTCCCAAGTGATTAAGCAGCAGTAGTGATAGACTTTACAGGGGTGCATCTCTGAATCAACACAGAGGGGCATCCCTTTTTAAAGATGAAGAAGAAATATACGCCAAGGGACTTGCCCACGCCCAAAAGTTTTGTCAATTCACTAACAGCATGTGTAGAGACAATATAACGGGCAGAACAATTAAAAAAAGATACCAAAGTAAATTAATGTCAACTATAGAATTTCCCTGGCTCCCAGCCCTGTGCTCAATCCCCACTTTACTCTCTCCCCCTAACTTTGAAAACAGTCCCCACGAGCCCGTGGGTGACATCTAACTTAATTTTACATGGTGATCATCAGGGCTCGACAAATCAGTGAATCTACTCACCCCGTTCACCAATGGCACGTGCATGCGCAATGCGGTTTTGCGAATGTGCAGTGCGGGGCTGGTGAGTAGATTTCAATGCGGTTTGTCAAGTGATCATATTCCTGGAATGAACTATGGAAGCAGCTAGGAGAGCAGTCACTTCAGGATGGAGCTGGCCTTGTCTACACTTACCTGAGGCTCAGTGCTCCAGTGATCGATCTTCTGGGTTTTATTTAGTGGGTCTAGTAAAGACCTGCTAAATCGAACACTTGAGGGGGGCCCCGTCAGCTGCAGTACTCGTGGCAATCGCAAGGACTAAGGGAAGTCAACAGGAGAGTTTCTCTTATCTACCTCCTACTGTGAAGCCAACCGAGAAAATCAATGTAAGGTGCATCAACTCCAGCTACACAATTGTCATAGCTGGAATTGCATATCTTACATCAATTTTCTCTGCCATTGTAAACCTGGCCTCCGCTTCCCCATGAAAGGACATTATTGAGGCTCAGACTCAGTCAAGTTTAGATTTTACACAAGCATTAAAACTGCCAAGATATTTTTTGTTAATGGTTCATCGGTAGAGATCCCACAATAAAAGTTTCTGCATAAAGAAACTTGAAAGGCAGTTCTAAGCCTCTTGAGAGCTGGGACTGTGCAAATGACAACGGTCATTCTCTCTCTCTTTCTCTCTTCCCTCCGCTCCCCCCCTCCCCCGTGACTACAAAGAGGGCCATAGTTATCCCCCTCCTCACCATTGCTCCCGTCTGGTGGACCAGTCCAGAGACAAGGCAATACATTGTGCTCCCAAATCAACACTGCAGAGTGGATCCAACACGCAGCTGTTCTTCTACTGGAGAGAAAAGGAAATTGATCAAGATCAGGAAAACCACAAAGACAATGTCTACTTGCCTTCCACCCCTCACTGAGGGATCCATGCATGCTGTAGATTCATACCGTTAGGATCCTGGGCATTACAGAAAAGAAAAATCCTAACGTAAGCCAGTGAAGTGCTAGATACAAGGACTACTATTCACACAAGATGCCTCCCATTTCCTGTCCTTAAACTCACTGACTCCTACTCTGACCCCAGCTATTCATCCCAGCAGCTCCTTCTTTTCAAAACTCATTGTGGCTAGAGGGTCGTCCAATCACAGTGTCTTAACCTTCCCCAAGGCTGCCTTCTGCTCTCTCCACTTCATTGAAACCAATAACCTCTTCCTCACAGAGCCCTTTCTTCACACACAATTTCTCTGCTGCCTTTAACAATGGCCCATCCCCTCCTCCTCAAAACTCTCTTACATGAGATTTCATGATTCTCCTTTCAGTTATTTTTGCCAACGGTGAAGGCTAGAACTTCAACAGGGTTCAAAAAAGAGCTAGATGGATTCATGGAGGTTACCATCTTTTAGCAAGTATGCCCCGCACCCGAATATACCCCATGGTTTTTGCAGTTTGAGTAAAAAAAATCTTGTATACTCCATGGATGAGTATAACCCGCAGGATATACAAGACTTTTTTTCAAACTGTGTGTGTTGGGGGGGCGGGGGGGCGGATTAGCCACCCTCCGGATGGGGGAGCACTCACCCTGCCTGGTTCCCGCACAACCTCCGAGTGGGGGAGCACTCAACCCCCTGGGTCCCACGCGGCTGCACAACCTCCAGGCAGGAGAATGAGAGTGCACCCCTGCCTCTTCCTGCGGCTGTGCAGCCAGCAGGCTCTGGTTGGGGGAGCGCTCATCCACTAGTTCCTGCACAGGAGCGCTTCCCCTGCCCCTTCCTGCAGCTGCGCAGGAACCGGGAGATGAGCGCTCCCTGCCCAGAGACTGGCAGCTGTGCATCAGGGAAAGGGGCAGGGGAGCGCTTACCACCAGGTGAGTTAAAAAAAAAAAAAAAAAAAAAAAAATGTATACCCCCGCACCCAAGTATATCCTGCAGGGGGCTGCGGGGTTTGTAAAAACAAATATAACCCGCGGGTTATATTCACTAAAATATGTTAGGTCCATTAATGGCTATTAGCCAGGATGGGTAGGAATGGTGTCCCTGGCCTCAGTTTCTTTGGAGGTGGGTGACGGGGGAGAGCTCACATGAGGATTGCCTGTTGTGATCCCTTCCTCTGGGGCATCTGGTATTGGCCACAGTCAGCAGACAGGACACTGGGCTGGATGGACCTTTGGTCTGACCCAGTGTGGCCGTTCTTATGTTCTTAACTGCTTTTTCAATGCTTCTTCTCCCAAGTGACTAAGAGCCCCAAGCTCTGTCCTCATTCTGTTTCTCCCCTCACTCCTTACTCCTCACATGTGAACAGAGTTCAGCTTGACTCCCAGATCTCAGGGACAAATTTTTGGGATTGGTATCTAGGAAAAATGCCACCAAAAACAAATCTCACTTGTAAAGTGAACCCATTTGCCCTGGAGTCACTGAGTATGCCATGGAGCTTCCAACCTCCTTTTTAGTAACACCACACTGTAAAGCCTTTAAACATTATTTTAAAAGCTAGAAGCGTTGACATTAATGGCCTGCAGCTCAACCACATACCTCACTCCCAGTCAGGTGGCAAAGCTCCACAGCTCCCTTGGCATTTGCAATGCCCAACATGGGATGTTCTGCGACAGGAATATGGCACCTGGAAGAGTAATTGACACGGTCTTGAATTCAAGGCCATGTCATACATTAGAGGAAAGGATCAGAGTCCTAAAGGAGGAGCTTTTTTTTTTTTATTTTAATTTATTTGGCACGTCTCATCAGGCAGCAGATTCTCTTATTTCAACTCCCTTAACTTGCATAGCTCTTATTCCCCTGGGTATGTCTACACTACAGCGTTATTTCAAAATAGCTTCTTTTGAAATAACACATCTAGACACAAAATGCATTTCAAAATAGTGTTTTTCTATTTTGAAATAGCGCATCCACACTGGTAGGACGCTGAATCGCATTTACGGCCGGCCGGAACCGTTTGTCACAGGGCATCAGGTCAGGAGTTAGCCTCAGGCAGCAGCCACACAAGGTATCTGAGACCTGTGCTTAAAGGGACTCCCCCGGACAGCCGGTTCTCAGGCTTCCCTGCTTGCTTGCCTACCTCAATGAGGGACAGCAAAGCATTTTTTTCTGTGTGTGCTCTAGTTGCCCTCACTCGGGACACCACAGCACTCTGCGGCATGGAGCCGGAGCCGCTCCTGGGCACCCTGGTGCTTCTCCTGGACATGTTGCTGCGAGCCTGGCAGCAAGTTCTGCAGGCAGTAACAGTCTCCACTGGGGGCTTGTGCCTTATTCCTCCCTCACGTCCTCCCACTTACTCCCCCAACCCCTCTTCCTGCTGTACAATAAAAGACATGTGTTCATTAGAACAAAACCTCTTTATTGAACAAAACTGGGGTGGGGGGGAATGAAACTGAGGTGAGACTGGGGAAAGAAGGTGGGAGAGGGGAGGAGGGAGGGTGGGAGAGGGGAGGGGGAAACCGGGGAGAAGGGAGCTCGCAGGGGGAGGCAAGGGGAGGAAAGGGGAGGAGAAGCTCGGGGTTGGGGATCTCTCCAGCCCAACTGTCTGCCAGCACTGTGGGTGCAAGGGCCTCGGCATCCCTGGGGATGTGGGGAAGGTGGGGAGGAAGAAGCAGGAGGGGGAGAAGGAGTGGTAGGAGGAGCTACCGCTGGGGAGGCAGCAGGGGCTGGAGCAGCAGGAGGCAGCAAGCTCTGCCCCAGGGTCGATGACCACCTGGGGAGCACAGACCATCCTGCCCCCCAGGATGCGGTCCACGGCATCAAAACAGGGGCAGGGGTCTGGGGGAGCCCTTGGTTGAGCTGTCCCCTGTGGCCCTGGCATAGGCCTGCTGCAGCTCCTTTATGTTCATGCAAACCTGCTCCTGGGTTCGCATGTGGCCTTTGGTAGCCAGGCTGGGCAGCCATCCACCTGTAGACAGTTGCATTCCTCCGTTTAATGCGGAGATCATGGACATTGGAGGCATCCCTCCAAACCTGAATTTGGTCCCTGATCTCTGCACTGGACGAGGCAGGTGCCCGCCTTTTCCGGCCCCTGGCAGGCTCCTGGGAGCTGGCAGACTGGTCCTGGGGAATGGTGAAGGGCTGGCTGGCACTGGCTGCCTGGCTCATGCTGGGGCCACTGGGTCAGATGCAGCGACTGCAGGCTTGGCGCTGGCACAGGCACTGTGGACAGAGTCTACCCCTTTAAGGGCTCTGGGGAGGGGAGGAGGGAGAGGAGTGTTCTTGGTTGTACCCAGAGTGGCCACCAGGGCACCTTGGGAAGGGCTGGAGGCCCCTTATTTCGAAATAAGTGTCTACAGAACGCTTATTTCAAAATAGCAATTTTGAAATTGGTGCTATTCCTCATGGAATGAGGTTTACCAATTTCAAAATAAGCCTTCCACTATTTCGATTTCATTTCGAAACAGCGGTTTGGCTGTGTAGACGCTGGTAAAGTTATTTCAAAATAACTCTGCTGTGTAGACATACCCTATGAGGGCTAAGGAAGACAAGATCCCAACCCCTACAGCAGTTTTTGCCCCATAGTTTCCCCTGCCCTCAGGTAATACTGACTTTTTTTTTTTTAAACTTACAAAGAATCATAACTTGAAAACTAGTTTTCACAGCTAGTAGAGAGCTCACACCCCCAGCTTCTACCGTTTCTTCTGCTGCTTCCTTGGTTCCAGAACCACTGACAGAAATGCACCCAATCTGAATAAGCAGCAGGCACAGCACAAGTGCAACCAGGATTTGCAGCTTGCGAACAGGTGATTGCTAACAGGGAGTTTTGAGAGGGAGTTCTCCAGGTGAAGGAGAAGCAGATACAGGACTCTTGAGGGAAGTGTGTTTTATTACTGGGGCTTTCTTTCTTACTGTGTGCTGAGCTTGTGTTAGTTTGGTGTGTGGTGATGTTGGGGTTTTTTTTGGGGGGGGGGGGGGTTTTTTTTTTTTTTTTTTTTGTTATTATTTATTTATTTTTTCTTTCCCTGTTTGAGTGAGGCTTCAGAGAGGGAGTTCTCCAGGTAGAGGAGAAGCAGATACAGGAGTCTTGAGGGAAGTGGGTGTTGTGTTTGGGGCTTTCTTGCTGTGTGCTGAGCTTGTGTTTGGGTGAGGGTTGGTGTGTGTTCTTTTTTGTTTTTTGTTTATTTATTTATTTATTT